GTAGGTTCGAATCCACGTCACGGCCCTTGTGGATTTGTTAATTTGATGCATCACGCTATTGTGATTTCTGTGTGTATATATTTAAATATTAAGGGCGCATCTTAAATTTTGCATCATCAACATCATTTTCTATGTTTTGGTATACTTTAAACTATTAAAATCAGGGGAATATTCACATCTGTTCTAGACTTTGAAACTTTAAGTTTATTTTAGATTGAGAAATTTTCTTATGCTCCAAAATGCTGACGCTCGTATGCTCCATACGGCCCCTTGAAGCTGATGTGAAAAAAGGATATTAAAATTCTCGCGATGTGCGTGTTTTTTTTATTGTTTCTAATATCAGTTACAGTAAATATGAACTGAACGAAGCTGTAAAATTTATATTGAATAATAATAATAATGCACAAGAAATCACATTAACGTGATGTATCATTTAAAAATCAGTAGGAACCAAGAGAAGAACTCGAACCTGCACACTGGGTTATCTTGAGATGATTTCGGGGCTTTTAGTGTCCCCGCGGCCCGGTCCTCGACCAGGCCTCCACCCCCAGGAAGCAGCCCGTGACAGCTGACCAACTCCCAGGTACCTATTTACTGCTAGGTAACAGGGGCATTCAGGGTGAAAGAAACTTTGCCCATTTGTTTCTGCCTCGTGCGGGAATCGAACCCGCGCCACAGAATTACGAGTCCTGCGCGCTATCCACCAGGCTACGAGGCCGCTTCCTCGGTACTACAGAGCACTCCCTAACCCCACTATGCCACGACATGCTACAAAAGAAATATAATCTGGGATTCAACTAAATCCTCTTGACTTTTTGAGGCTTCTCTTGATTCCCAATCATGGTTTCACACAATACCCGCCAGCACTCTGGCTTTGGTATAGGCGTTCTACTCCCAATACTTAACTTCAAATTAAGAAAGAATCCTCAGGCATCCCTGTTGGATTCAGTTGTATCTCAGGTGACATTACTCTCGCAGCACATCATGGCCTAATGATTCAGGGTACCGTTCTTGTGCCAGGTAAGTCCACTACGGGCTAACCATAGCCTGTGCTACTTGCCCCGCTCCTGTGCCAGGTAAGTTACGAGCTCACCATAACCCGTGCTACTAGGAACTTGTTCCGAGTAACTGAATCTATAACAATAACAACAACGATTCAGGGCATGATGATAACAATTGAACAAATCCACAGGAGCCTTGAAGAAGGCTCGAACCCATGCACTAAGAGTTCCCAGATGCGCTCTCGTCAACTGTACCGAGACATGGTAAAAAAAAATACTCGTCAGTACTCGTCAGAGGTAGTGCGACTGGTTGACAGAGCCCGAGTGCATGGGAGAATTGTGTGAAACCCCGGTTAGGCTTCAGTGGAAGCCTCGGAACCCTTGTTGATGCAATAGCACTCCAGGTTTCAATTATTTTGACCATGTTGTGGTACAGTTAACTAGAGCGCGTCTGGGAACACCCAGCGCATAGGTTCGAACCCTCATCAAGGCTCCTGTGGATTTGTTTTTTTATATATCACGTTAATATGATCTTTATTTTAATAACCATAATAATTGCTATTACAAATATTCAGAAGGAGGAAATTATACAGTCGTTGCTTATTTGTTACGTAAACGTGCATATATATTAAGGTAACTAGTATTCAAATGGTTTCCAGTCTACGTTTTGTTTATAACATTGGTTAACAACAGCACTTAACTGTTGGTGACCTACATGGGTACTGGACCATTATATTGCAGTTCGTAATTTCAGCTAATTGGCCTCTAGTGAACTGCCATTTAATTTTGTCTATTGTGTATACTACTGTAATAAATACTTACAAATAATATGGATAAAATATTGCGTAAAGATCAAAATAGTTCTTTTCGTCATATTTGTTTTGCGTCAAATTATATATATTAGTGTTTTTTTATATATGGTAAAAGCAACGTATTTACATATATATTTCAACAGACGTCTTTGCATGATCACAACACTTAATCATTTCTTGGAGTGAGAAATAATTATGGGAAACTTCTAAAATAATTAAATAATCTGATTTGACATTTTCAGCAGTCTCGGCTAATGGGTGATCTTGAAAAGATATCCAGCAACTTTAAGGTGCCCAAGGTTTAGATAATATTTTGCAATTGCTACTGAGTAATTAGAACAAAATAAAATGGTCACTTAGTAAACTACAAAATTATCTTAAAACATCAAATTAGCTCCAATCACTTTAATGTTTAGCAACTAGAAAGATTCATTTAAATCAACAGAGTTTAGGCGCTAAAGCGTCAGTAGTCTTAGTTTCAGAATCACATATATATAATCACAAATTACTTTTATTTATGTTTTACAATGAACGGAAAATATTGTTATTCTATTCTCAAATTGAACATGTCTCACAATGGCACAGACAGTTCTATCAATGATATTAATTATATGCAATGCACAGAAAGTATTTTGCCTATAATTGGGATTAGGTTAGGTTATGTTCAGATAATTTAAGATAAAGTTAGGTTTGGTGCTTTAGTTCATTAGGTTTTGCACTTTACACATAAGATATACTAAACGATCTAGTTAGGCTGAGTCTGGTGATTAAACACTATAGGTTGGAAAAGCTTCAATTAATCCTAGTTGCAGTAAATACTAAAATAAAACATTGAAATTAAATGAACGTGAATTATCTATTGAAAAATAGAAGCCATAGTTCAGTAGTGTGTAGGCCTGGAAGCCCAAGGATGCGGGTTCGATCCCTTAGAAGAGTCTTATATTATTTTTATTAATCACACGCACCAGCTGAGCCTTTTTCCGAGGCTACCTCCTCACTCGCATGTAGCTTCGTGGTAATCATAACATCCAAGTCATCGTAATATATAATGCATCCAAGTTGCATTATCGTAATGGCTCCAAAATGCATTGAGTTTAATTAGTGCTTTTAATGCACTATAACTAATGCTTGGTTAGGTTAGGTTAGGGTAAGTTTAGTTACATGAACAAAACTAAAACACATTGTGTAGTCCGGCCTTTATTGTACAAACTAACCTCAGTACTGACTGCTATATTAAAGCCTGGATATAAAATAATATACAGTTAGAACTTGAAAATAATCTCTGTTAAGGGCAAATGTTAACTTACCAGTTGACAAAATGATTATTACTGGAACCTTAATTAGCATTCAGAGCCTCACAAATATGCAGATAAACATCCAGGTGGGTGATATAGTTGGAGGAGGCAAACAAGGTAATCACTAGGCCAAGTTCATAACTGCATTACATATTGGTAATAAAATGAACCAAGTGTACTTAGTTCTTTAATGAACTTAGTGGCCCGCGGAAGGACTGTCGAAAGAGCGGTTTGTGAGAATAACTAGAAAATAGATGTAATTCTTGTCTGTGTTCCATAAGTCCTTTCCTGACTACCTTGGGTCTTTAGCCTACGTGCTGAGGTATTCACACTACCGTCTTAATTCAAGTCAACGAGATGCAGAGATAAAGAAGAATATACTCAAGGGTATTTATACATGGAGAGGTATAAAATAAATCCTTAAATTGGGAACAGGAAGCCTGTGTATATTCAGCCCATCCTCCGGTTTTGGTAGTACTTATAGGAAGGATGAGGACCATAGTACGTATACCGACGTACAACGCAATTATAAAGCAGAAATCAGTACTAATGAATTTGGACAAACTGGAAAACTATTTCCTACTTATGTTGCAAAAAGATAACCTAAACTAATCTTATTTAGCCTTCCAAGGCCTAATACACGCTATCTGAGGCCTAGTATAGCACATATGTGTTCTATATTAGGCCTAAAAATATATTTTTTTTTAGCTTAATTTGTTTCTGGACTGTGTAAAGTGAGTAGTACAAAGTTCTACTATCTAATTGTTTAGAACGTCAATATTTGTACTATGGTGCACATAGATACAAAAAGTACTTTCTAAACAGGAACAAGGGTTCGTATATTTTAGTATATCGTCTACTTTAGGCTTGAATCGAAGCAGCCCCGTATCCCAAATAAAACTACTGAACTTTTCCCCCAGGATGCAACCCCACAACAGAAGCCTAACTAACCAGGTACCTATTTAGGGCTAGGAGAACAGGTCCTTCGGGTGAAAGGAAATGTGCCTAACCATTTAGGTTCCCCCTGGGTATAGAACCCCGGATCCTCGAGTGTGAATCGAGAACGTAACAGCTTCTCTGTGTATGCACATGTTAAAGCCAAAAAATTCGTATTCATATTAATATTATTAATAATATTGATATAGTTTTATTAATCGCATTTTTACTGTTGTTATTTTATTATTCTAATTAATATTAGTTTTATTAGTATACAATATTTTAAAAATAATTATTATTCAAAATATTTTTAAAACTATTATTAGTCAAAATATTTTAAACAATTATTAGTCAAAATAACTTAAACATGATTATTAGTCAAAATAATTTAAACATATTTAATGGTAAAAAATCTTTTGAACATAATTGTTAGTCAAAATATTTTAAACATAATTATTAATCAAAATATTTTAAACAATTATCATTCAAGATATTTTTAACGTAATTATTAGTAAACATATTTTAAACATAATGTTTTGCTAAAAATAATTTTCATTATCTTTTGTATTATTTCACACAGCTATATAAGTTTTGTTAATTTCAAAGATAACTTTCTCTCTGTACAGTTGTATATTACAGTGTTGATCTTGCTTTCAAGTTCAAATCATTTCTAAAAAATATATTAATACTTCTCTAAACTTTGTGAAAATATTTTTGTTTTGATGTGACTGTATTGCTGACGTGAGTACAGTGTTGAAATGACTGTATTCCTGAAGTGACTGTATTGCTGAAATTACTTTGTTGCTGAAGTTACTGTGTTGCTGAAGTTACTTTATTGCTGATGTGACCGTAGTATTGACGAGACTGATTGTAGTATTGACGAGACTGACTGATGATCACGAGATCTATGTCGAATAAAATGGGACAAGTTATTAATATATCCAGTATTAATGCAGAAATACGAGTTGGTCGCGGTGGGGTTGGCAGTCCTGGTCGCTTCTGCCATGGCTGCTCCGAGCATCTTAGGCTACGGCCGTGGATATGGGGACTACAATGGTGGGTACGGAGTCTACGGAAGTGGTATTGGAGTCTACGATAGTGGAATTGGAGTTTACGATAATGACATTGTAGTCTACGGGCGTGGATATGGAGGCTACGGTAATGGACATGCAGGCTACGACCATGGATATGGCAGAGGTTATAGTAGTGGAACAGCTATCGTCGACTTCAATTTAAGACCTGTCCCTAGATACGGAGCCTACGGTACTGGTGTGGGCTTAGGCTATGGTGTGGGTTCTACAGGCGGCTACGGCAGGTATGGTGTACATGGAAAATAATTATCACATCGTGCACCTGGTCAGTATTGAAGAATGAAGCAAGAAACCTTCAAAAAAATACTAATAATAATAATAATTTATTGAACTATAAATAAAAATTTAGAGACATTCCTTAACTTGAAGTCTCTTCATCTCAAGTCTTCGAACATATAATTTGAATATGTTATATAATGGATGTAATATATATATAAAATAAATAAAATTTTTGAAAATAACATGACGTGGAAAAATAACACACACACTCATGGAATTAGTTGATGTTCAGGAGCTCATAATCAGTGCAAGTACACATGTTATAAAGAACACCTGCTGTGAACGTTTGTTCACTCAGGATCTAGCTGTCTAGTCTAACACTTGTGTGTACATCTGCTGTTTAGTCTGATACTAAGGGTCTGTGTGCATCTGTTGTTTAGACTGACTCTACTGTTGTGTGTGTGTACATCTGTTGCTGTCTAACACTGTTTGTCTGTGTACACCTGTTGTTTAGTCTGATTGTGAGATTTTTTTTTCTTTGACTTTTACTTGATCAAAAGAATTATTTCCTAATGATGTTACGTTAATGTAACTACCTCGCAAGGGAGGCAGACTTCAAACAGAAAGAACTGCCACTGGCAGATATTTAACTTAAAGCCTAAGATCATAGGAAAGCCAGGCTTCACCACACGGGTGAAACCTGTCCACTTAGGTCGTTGAGTCCTAGTAAAAACTAATAAAAAGTAGCCGACGGGATCTCACTTCGAATTATTATTTGAAGTGTAGTGCTGTGAATTGGACTCTAACTTTAGGAACAAACTTAATTTACACATAAGCAGGCAAGGCGTTGCAGAACATGAAAAGTGGGACAATAATTTTGTGGGATTGACTTAAACGATCGTTTCTAGAACAATAACAAAGTTTATTCAACAAAATCTAGAACAGCTACAACAAAGAGTTTACGTTACTTTACTATCTATCTCAGTGGCACATTTAGCAACAGCTATTCAACAGCCTGGTGGACCCACGGGATCCTTCCCGTCGTCGCTGACTGAATAATGACTAACTGAACAGAGTGTTGCCCACTGGTGACGCAAGCTTGCAATCAATATATGTCACAGCCCTCACAGTGAACAAATACTATAATCACAAAACTTGAATGGCGCTCGCCTCCCTCCCAGCGAGGTACCAAGTAACAAGGTGGGTGATCCAAGAATGATATCCCCCTATAAAGATCTTACGTTAACACTTGTCTCTCAGGACAACACTAATTGAATTTAAACAATTACGTTAATCGACCGTCCACAGCGGCCAGCAACAATTTAATTTACGTTAGCACACTCGTGTCTCAACGACACTCAAACGGCAACAATAACTCGTAAGCTCATTAATTACATCACACTTGAGACGTCAAGCATTCGGTGAGTAATCCCCAATTAATTACTGTCACTACAACAGTGAAGAATCCTTAATCCAAAAAAGTATTGATAGACACTACTGTCACTCAACTGACAGGTCTCTTCCGGTCTTACAACAAGATTACCTTAACGAGGGTTCTACTACTTTACCACAAAAAGCTACAATACACACTGTGTAAACACATCAACACCATGTGAATTCACCAAGTGGTGGGTGCTAATGCCCCTTAATCTGCTTACTAGTGCTTAATCCCCCTGTCCGGAGACAGATACGATCAGTCCAACGTATTATGACAGCTCATTTGACTTCGACCATGACAGGACAGTTAACCCCTTACGTTAATCAATCAACAACAGCTAACAGTTGTTAACAAATTAACAACAGCTCGTTAATTCGTTAACACTACGTTAGTCGACCTATCGACAATTCCTCCACTGCGTGAACTCACTGTGACTGTTGCAATTACACGAATTTACGTTATTCACAACAATGATCAACAACACATCAATGCCCTCGTTAAGCAATCATGTCCCCCAGTGACGTTAATGACTTTAATTCTCACAGAATCCTTCACGGCACACAACGCATTACACCAAGGACACAACTGTCTACAGTTCACACACGGTACAACACGGTACACTCTTGCCGCTCACGGTAAACTTGCAAAACACTTTCCCCAGTAAATTATAACACTAACAATTCACGGCCCTAACACAACACAACAGTATAACAAACCGCTGGCCAAATATAATATAAAATTATCAGTTAACCAAAGGAAAACTCCCGTTACCACTTCACTACTAGAACGGGAACACTCTGCAAGGAAATATTACATACACGGCACAATAGAGCAATGGAAACAAATAAAAATCACTTTTCTCCACCCTTGAAGATACAGTAAAATAGTAACCACACCACATAACTGAATGTGTCTCTAATTTTGTCCTCTTACACACGTGTACCCTCACAGTACCCTCACAAATGTACCAATTACAATTATTATTTAACCTATACCGTTGATAGGTTAAGTAATAATTGTAAATAAGAAGCAATAAGATACTTATTTTAACATACTAAGCAGGTTAGGTGAAGTCGGTGTTTTCTATGAAGATTTCAAGGTAAACTAAAATATTCACAATCAATTAGTATGTCACATATGCACTTATTAAATAAACCAATATTGACTAAAAGCAAGTGCGAGAACGGGTTGCGCAGTTGGGCCCAATCCTCAACTGGATTACGTTCAACAGGTGTAACTCACACATCTCCAGTTCCCATCACCTCACCAGGTGTTCAAAAGGGACAATGGTAAGGCGGAACACTGGGTGCGACGCCAGCTTCTGAGTTTTAACACACCAAAAACACAAAACAGGTACTTACTCCAATTTCACCGGCTGGCCACATTCACACACTCATATACCAACTCCCACTTGCTGCTGCTGTTGGTGGTGAAGTAGGCGTCCTCACTACTTCGTACACGTTATCTTGAGGATATCTTGAGATGATTTCGGGGCTTAGCGTCCCCGCGGCCCGGTCCTCGACCAGGCCTCCTTTTTGTTACACACACCCCAGGAAGCAGCCCGTAGGAGCTGTCTAACTCCAGGTACCTATTTACTGCTAGGTAACACGGGCATCAGGGTGAAAGAATCATTTTGCCCATTTGTTTCCGCCTCCACCGGGGATCGAACCCCACCCAGCTGTTAGGCGCGTGTCCTCACACAAAGAGACCAGGGTGGCGGTGGTAGGTACCTCTCGCTCTGCCTAGGGTAGGCGAGAGGAGCGAGGCACGGCGGCTGGTATATACACACAGAGCCGGGATTGTACGACGCCCTTAGCACGGCGCGGTACGGCAGGCACGGCGGCATGACAGGTACGGCGCTACACGGCATGCGAAAATGACAGTCCTTCACTGTTCACTGGTAATTCCGCGGAATTACGAATTTAAGGTTTTCAACACAACACTGAAACCTTTCCCAGATCGTCTCTCCCAGGTACCTTGTAGCTAAGGCACAATACACGACGGATGTCACCTCCACACGTCGATAAACAGCCTTCACAGTCCAGTTTACTCTGGGTGGCATGGCAATCACGTGGCCCGGGTGACAATCACTCAAAGTTCACACTCGTTAGCTTAATCTCGCCGAATCCCCTCTTCCAAGATACCGGATTCTTACTTCACTAGAGTCCCGGGATGACGGTCGACGATCGAGTGTGCCTTTTGTGTCGTTGCAGGAGGTATTTCAGGTGCTTGGCCTAGCACGAAAAATTTCGTCCATCTCAAGCAACGTCCACTGTGAGAATGCCTTTTGGCGCCAAAAGATGGCTCCAAGGTGCTAACACGTACCCTCGGCTTCTTCGACCAATCACCGCGAAGCATTCCCAGGAGCCTTAGCCAATCGCGGCACCTTGGAGGCGACGCTATGTCCCCCTCTCACGAGGGAAAACACGTGATGGGGGTCAAGCCTACTACCGTTAACCCCCCACGCCCCCTCACTACACTTGAACTGGTACAAAAATTTAACAGAAACCAACTCCCTGCTGTAATTTTCCGTATAGACTCGATACAGCAATGACAATAGCATTAATGACGAGCACCACTCGTCCGGACCTTCCTAAAGACACCTCACACGGCTATGAGAAAGTAATATTTCGTAATCTGGTTCATGGTGCACATGCACCTGTGTACCCTGCACTGTGCACACTCATTCAGTGCACAAGGGAGCTGGAGAATTTCTCTCCTGACACTGACACTTGCATGTACATCTGTTGTGAAGACTGCCCCTACTTGTGTGTGTACATCTGTTGTTTAGTTTCACACTTGCGTATACATCTGTTGTTGACCAGACTACACACTAGAATGTGAAGGGACGACGACGTTTCGGTCCCTCCTGGATCATTCTCAAGTCGATTATTCTAGTGTGTGGTCTGGCTAACATACTTTAGCCACGTTATTGTGACTCATCGCTTGTATACATCTGTTATTTAGTTTCGCACTTGCGTGTACATCTGTTGTTTAGCTGACACTACTGGTCCGTGTACACTTGTTGTTTAAACTGACTACTGGTGAGTGTACATCTGCTGTTTAATCTGACACTTTAGTGGTGTGTGCAAATCTGTTGTTTATGTAAAAGTATTCGCTGCAACTTTACAACCTGTCATCAGTTTAGTGTAGCCCTCGGCATCTATATGAATGACCTTAAAATATTTGCCGGAGTGACAAGAATATTAAGTGCTGTTACTTTGAGAAGAGAAGAGTATTCACTCTTATTGCTAGTGAAGGTCGTGTATGATATATGTATGGCAGGGTGCTGATGGAGTTGGGCATCGTCAACAGGTGTATTGCACGTAATAGAGATTCTCAAAGATGTTAGAAGTATGGCTAATCTGCCAGTTAGATTGGGTGCTAGATGCGCTAAGTTGCGTTGGCACCGAGCTAGTGGATTGACAGCTCTAGATAAGTCACTCTCAGTCGTGTTAGACATAATTAGTCTTATGATCTTAATGGAGAAAATAGTCTTGAGATGCGCAGTTTTCTCGTATCAGGTGGACTCTTTCAGTTCTTCCCTCAAATTGATTCTTATCCATCATGAGGCACGAAGAATCATCCTCATGTCATATTTTTGTTTGTTTCTTCTAATGTTTTTATTCGAGTTTTATATAAATGAATTAGGTGTTTTGTGTGGCATTCAACTAGAGATTTAATGACCATCATGTCGGACAGTCGAGCCTCTTTAGAATTTATACAAAATTTATTAGCAAGTTTTTTGCA